AGGTGTTCAGAGTGGTGAAGTCTGGTGCACATGCTGTCCACCTCCTACCCCATTATTTATTACATTTTAATTTGTATTGCCACTTGAGGTCAAAATGGCTTTCCATGTCTTTGCCCTGCATGCCTCTTTCTACAACCTCTCAGAAAATAGCATATTTGTTAGGAACTGACAAAGCATCTGTGAGCTGAGCGGTTACCCTGTTGGCACAGTCAGCTTGTAAAATAAGGAAAATGCAAGTGGCACTGGGATCATATATGGATAATGGTGGATTATGTCTTTTAATTTGTATTTATAATTATTTAACATTTTATAATTTTGGATTTAGTTTTAAATTGTATTGGAATACTTTTTGTTGTTTGCACATTGGCCCAAGGCTAAATTGCTATTAATAAAACTAAACTTGGACACTCTCTCTTCCCTGAAGGCTTATTGTTTAAATGATGTGAACAACTTCCATCTTTGCTAAGAAATTAGTTGCATTACAGTCAGCTGTGGGTTGCTCCAGAAGGGGGACTGAAGATTACATGCCCCGCACCTCGGCAATGTTGCCTGAGGGGTCATGGAAAGATGTCTGAACACGCTGTATCTGGGCAGCACCACTTAACAGTCATTGCCTGCAGGGCTTCTCCAGATTCTTTACTTGCAGATAAAAGCTATTCTCCCTTGGTAGAACCCTTACGGAAGGTGCAACATTCTCCACCCACACCAGCATCTCTTATGCTAGGAGTATTGTTTCAAATTCATCTTGTCCTGGGGGAGAAACTCACCCCTAGCTATGCAGAGGGTCCTAAGGATGCCTAGATCCCACTCCATTTCCATGGGATTTGTCTATGGTCGGTGCCTCCTTTTTTGGAGGACAGCAGAAACATGCCAAAGGCTTGACCTCTGCTAAGAAACCAGGGGTTGACACTCTGGAGCTACCCAACTATCTACCCTGTGTTGGGGAAGGTTGTGGCTGACTTGCTTAAATGTGCATCTTCTAGTGACTTTCTGTGATGGGCCTCAGGTTGTAGCCAGTGCAGGAAACAAAGACCCTCTTTCACACAAACATTGGAGGTGCTTCAAGGCCTGTTAAAATATAAAGCATTGAATGGCATAGGACTAGTCTAGCTGATAGGATATAAATCAGCTTGACAGCCCATCTTCTCTGTTTGGATGTTTGGGGTTGAAGCTGCTGGCAATCCTATGGCATAGTCCTAAGAAGGCAGAGTAGAACATCATGACTCTGGACTGTTGTCCCCTGGATATATGCCAGGGTAGAGCTGTGGCCTCCTGGGTGAGACACAGGAAGATTTAGCTTCTCTGTTTGTTCTATCTCATGTGGTTGGGGTGAGTTGGGAGGGATGAGGCATATGGTAATTCTTCTGTTCTTGTGTCTGGGTTGTGGAGGGAGAGCCCTAACTTTTGGCTTACATGGGTTCTTGCTTGTTGAGAAATTGCATTCAGTTCTATTTTCCTAGATATACAGAAGTCTTTGTGCTTGGGGGCAGGAGGGGAGGTATCCTATAAATGTAATGCAATCACTGAAGATGTTCCTCCATTGAGGACCACTCTAAAGCCTAATAATCAGAATTCCTCCATGTGCAAGAGAAGCTATTCTTCCCATTTCAGCCTGAAGTTGATAGCCATTTTCCCATTCTCAAACGATGTGAATAATAAGATGAAGAATGTGGGGAGGAGGTAAGGGAGATGGGCAAATGTGGTACTACTCTTCAGGAAGAAAAGAATGATTCTGTAGTAAAACCTTGGAGTAAATATCTCTGAGACCTCAGATATTTAATGAAAAGCTGGGATCTACTGAGGGTAAGAAGAGAAGGGACACTGCCCATGTAGTAGTGTTGAACTGTCATGCCTGTGTAGGTGAGGAGAAAGGCTAATGCCTCTGGGAGTGTGTGGTGGTGGGGGAAGAGGCACATATTCTCCACCAGCAGTTGCAACAGGTGTAGCACATGATCCCCTCTGCTGTTGTGAAGCTGGGGGGGAGGGAAGGACTGGGCATGGCCACACATATTCACTTCAGGGCACTACGGCCTGCTGGTAATGCCAGCAAACCCCACCACCCTGTGTACTCTGAGGGTTGGCTTTGTACAACCAATTAGCTGCCTTGCTGGAAGTTCCCTTGGTGTAGAGGACACTACAGCTCTATGCTGTCCACTCCTGGTCCCTCTACCTGGCAAGGTGGTGTGGTCAGAGTGTTGTACTCTCTGGTGACTCTTGGCCAGCAGACTGATCCCTAGGTGACTATGACTGTCAGTGTAGCATTAAGGTTCTGCCTCAGAGCTCCACCAGGGAGGGGTGCCAAGACATGCCAGGGACCAAGCCAGCTCCAAGACTGGGGAACAGGAGTGTGGCTTAGAAACACTTTCCCTCCCAGTGTGCCACACAAAAGCCCCCAGGAGCTGACCCTGAGTGTTCAGGCTGTCACATTATGACTGTCCTCTCCGTGGGAGTGTTGGGTAAGGACAGGGGATTTCTGCACGGTCTCCCCTTCTTCCCACCAGTACATTGATGGCTGGTCCAGCACGACTTAGCCCTAAACACTGAAGTATAATGGAACTTTGAGCACTAGGCAGCATTCTGAGGGGAAGGAGGGAAAGCACTATAAAGAGCTAGTGCTGGCAGGAAATTGACCTCACTTTTCTATCTAAGTATAACAAAATAGACTAGCCTTTGCCTCAAGGATAGAAACAGTTGCCCCCTACTGCATGAGGAGTCCTGCTGCTCTTCACAAATCATAGCAATTTCAAGTGGTAGGGCCAGATTCTGAGTGGTGCCTCTGGGGCAGGGGTGGTGGTAAAGATGGCTTTAAGCTACCTCTGTGTCTACTGAATTCTGGCACCCTGGCTGGCCCAAGTAAGAGCGGCTCCAGTGGCTGCTTTAATTTAGGCCAGTATTAAACAAGCTATAGGTTGCTCTGCTGGCTTGGAATAGCCAGTGTTGGCCACATTCCTTGCCATGCCTTTGGCTGGCTCTTACTCCGGGAGCTTCTGGGAGACTGTCTCCACTTGCTGTTTTTACACTCTCATGCCACTGGGGCAGTGTAAAAGAGGTAGACAGTAAGAGGCCCAATTCTCTTAATGTCTGATTCTCCAAATACAGCTCCCTCTTGCACATGTTTGGACTTCCTTTCTGCCTCCGACAAACCTACCTTCGCTTCTCCCCATCTCTCAAGTGCTGTTCCTTTTTAGTAAAAGTCATGGGTAGTGGTTTGTGTGTATTTTTGTTTTTCTCTTAAATCTTCAAGCTGGGGTGCAATTAACTCAAAATCAGGTGTAATCAAATTTTATCTCGATGTGCATCTTCCTTCTGTTCTCTAGAATGTATTGAAAAGCAGAATGGCCTATGTGATGACTGGGACTCACTAAAACATTTGTACTGTGACCCATAGTCTGTGTGGAAGAGTGTAAAGTAACCTAGCAGGCTACTCCACCTTGTCCCTTCTAGTTCAGTGAAATTAGAATCCCATCAAGTCCCCTTGGAAGGACTCTGGGTGGGGGGAAGCAGAACAGGGAACCATATCTCAGAGGTGAAAATTTCCACCCAATAACTACCAAGGCAGTCTTCTAATGTGGCTGGAAAACATCCCACATCCGATGGGTGGTACTGCAACTGTTGACACTTGAGAGGTGTAATAATATTTGATGGGCATAAACCCCAAGAAGGAGGGGACCGTCAGCGTGACAAACAGGTTATACCTAAGAGGCATTGGATGAAATGTAGGCTTGACAACACGCGATCTTTTCTGAAATTGAAGTCTTTGACCAGGGCTCCTCCGAAGCCCAAGCACCAAGGAGGTGCTTTGTCTGCTGCCCAGTCTCCCTCCCTGAGGAGCCCTAGGCTTAGAGGTTGTGTGGGTCGTGCTCTGTCTGCACTTCTTACCTGCCCTCTTTGGGTCTAGGTGGGAAGGTGCAATCTTAGCAATGAATAGTTTGTATCTCCTCTGCTCTCAGCTGTACCTTAGGTCAAGGGACACAACTTACTTCAGTCCCTACCTTACCTCTGTTCCATACAAGTTGGATAGCCCCTCACCTTTGTTGTTTACCTCAGAAATAATCAAGTAACCAAGAAAGCTAATTCCGCAGCATCTTCAGCTTCCCGCATTAATACCACTTTGTGTCTCTCCCTTCGGGGGTGTGACACACAGCGCCCGCCCGTCCGGGCCTTGGCAGGCTCAGAGGTATGTGCTCAGGCATTTCAACTTCCAGTCACTCTGATGCCTTCTTACAGCACTCCCAACCCACCACAACAACCCTTCCTGCCCCTATCCTCCCCACCACACACACCTTCTAGCCGGCAGCCTCCCCGCAGCACACCTTCACTGTGGGCTCAGCAATGCCCCCTCCCCTCGGTCCGCTTCTGCCCTCTAATCACCCCCCCCCCCCAGCAAAGGCGCTAGCAGCGGCGGTGGGGCGGTACGGCCCACCTGCCCCAGGTCGCTATTAGCAGGCGGCCTGATTCATGGCTTTTTGTTCGCTTATTTAAAACACCAGCTCCGAAGCCTGCACTTGGCAAATGCCCATAGCCGGCTGGCCCTGGCCTTGCCTTCCCCCTCCCGCTGTTGCCTGCTGCACCCACCTGTCAGGCCTTGTCCCCGGTCAGACCCCACGTTCTGCGGGCCAGCGGCTGGCTGGGGTCGCTGGGCAGCGCGCTGACATCAGTAATAACACCTGGCCCAGCTGATCGGCAGGGCCCCACTGCCCCCGACCTCCCCGCTTTGCCCTGCCAGGCTCCCTCCGTCCCGGGCGGCCCCCAGGTCCTTGCTGCCTCCGCCGGGTTCCCCATCTCCCGGGCTCCCCCTGGACCTCGTGTCCCAGGCCGCCTCCCCCCGGCCCCTCCGCTGCCTGTGCTGGAGCCTGCCGGCTTTTTGGAATTCCTAATCGCGGCTGGCCCCTGTGATTGGCTGCTCGGCTCTGACCCCACTTGGGCTCCAGGCTGGGCGGATAAAAGGGGCCTGAGCCGGGGGCTCCCGAGCATTCCCGGGAGCGGGCACTAGGGACCGACCGGCCGCAGCATGACGGGCAAAGCGGGAGACGCGCTCACCCACAGCCTACCCAGCAAACCCAAACCCGACAGCGCGGCCAGTGCGCCTGGGGCCGGGGCCGCCGCTGGGGCCAAGCCCAGCTCCGGGCCCACCCCGCCCAGGTGCACCGGCTTCGGCATCCAGGAGATCCTGGGCTTGAACAAGGAGCCGCCCTCTCACCCCCGGGCTGCCCTGGACTCCCTGCCCGCCGGGCACCTGCTGGCGGCCCGCTCTGTGCTCAGCCCCGCCGGGGTAGGTGGCGTGAGCATGGGGCTCCTGGGGGCGGGCAGCATCCCCAGCTTCTACACCCAGCCCACTTTCCTGGAGGTGCTGTCCGACCCCCAGAGCGTCCACCTGCAGCCCCTGGCCCGGGCCCCCGGACCGCTGGACACCAGCCAGACGGCCAGCTCAGGTAGGCTCAGGCTGCTGCCCGGGGTGCCCCCCATAGCCGTGTCCGCTCCCCCCCGGGTCTCTGCCCCTCGATCGGAGGAGTTGGAGCCCGGGCGGCAGGGAAGCCCGGGCTGCCCCCCCCCCCCCGAGGGGGGCTTTATTAAAATTCGTTCCAGCGCCAGGTGGATGGATTGGCGATGGGAAACCCCAGCCGGCGGGTGCCACATGGGGGGGGTGAGGACTCGGGGGATGGGGGACGCCGTCCCCGCGGCTTCCCGGAGCCGGAGGGGCGCAGACCCCCGGGGCGCCGGAGCCCCTAACTCGTTTGCGGGGAATTGGGTGCCTCGCCGTCCGTTTGCTAGACGGCAGGATCCGCCCTGCCGCCTTCTCTGGAGCCCCGGACCCGGCCGGGCGCGCTTCACCCGCAGCTGCCCGGGGGAAAGTTAGTAAATATCGTAATAATTTCCCCCTTCCCCCCCCCTCCCCATACATACATATACACACACACCGCTTCCCGGCGGGGTCGCCCGCCCCCCTTTAACGCCCAGACAGCATCGCGAATACCCAGCGGGGATACCTACCGAGTGGGGGCCGGGCCGATTCCACCCGGCCGCCCCTCGGGCGAGCCCCGACGGTCCCTGCCCTATGACAGAACCGATTGTATCGAAATGCGGGTCCCGGCGCCCTGCACCAGCCGCTCCTGGGCGCGGAAGGGAGACCCCGAGCTGCCGGAACGACCCCCGGCCCGGGGGAACGAACAACCACCCCGGGCGGCGAATACAGGGAAGGAGCCGCCGGGCGGCTCCGGGATGCGCCCCGAGCCACGCCGGGAATCGGCCGGCGCCTCCCGGGTGAGCCGGGCGGATTATCCCCCAGAGCCCGATTTCCCCCCGCGGCGGGGTCCCGGGGGATCTGGCGCAGCGCGGGGATTTCCCGCCCTCTCGGGGGTTTTGTTTTAAAGCCGCCTGGAATTAAAAACCAACGAAACTGGGTGAAATCGGGGCACAGGCGCGCAAAGAACCGGCCCTTCGGAGCACAAGGGGCCGAGCCCCGAGACTTCCCCCGCCGCGCCACAGGACAGGCGCTCCAGGAGGGCTCTGCCTCGCCCGGCCGGCCCGGGGGCTGCCGCTGCGGGATCGCAACGAAATCCCCGCCGAACCAACGAAAAATAAAGCGAAATCCCAGGGAGAGGCAAAGCAAGGGCCGTGCCAGCCCCTGGCACCCCGCGCCGGGCAGGGAGCCTTTGGGCCGGGCAGGGAGCCTTTGGGCCGGCCCCGGGAGGGGGCGCCGGCAGCCTGGGGGCCTCTGCGGAGCTGGGAGAGGCGAGTCCCCGAGCCCGTCCTCAATCTGTGCCGCGTTTCTCTTCCCAGACTCCGAGGATGTTTCCTCCAGCGACAGGAAAATGTCCAAATCCTCCTTAAACCAGAGCAAGAAACGGAAGAAGAGACGGCACAGGTAGGAGAGAAGCCCGCTGCCCCCCTCCCCGCCTGCCCGGCTCCCCACTGGGCGAGACCCCGCAGGGCTACACTGGAGCCCCCCGCACCTTGTGGGCTCGCCTGCCTGCCTGCCCCCAGCAGCAGAACCTGCCCCAACCTTGGCTGGTATCTTTAGGCCTCTCGGAGCCGTATTTATTATTTCTATCCCCGAGGCCCTGTGGTGCTGGGCACTGCACAGAGGCACGGGATGGCGCAGCTCCTGCCCCCCAAAGATTTTCCAGCCTCGGGCCCCGATGGTGCAGTTGGGTCTGTGCATGCAGCACCTCGCGCTCACTTAGATCCAGCTGCTGCACGGGGGGCTTGCATTGAGACAAAATGCACTAATTCGGTGTAACAGGCGATTGAAGGGGCTAGGGATGAAGGATGAGGACAACAGCGGTAGGACTGTCTGGTTGCATGGATTTGCTGTGCCACGGATGGGTTTCAAATAAAAGGACGTTTTATTAAAAATATAAACAAACATGAATGCATGAGATCGGCAATCCCTAGTAGCCAGCCAAGGCCGCAAACTGGGTCCAACCCTACCTTCCACCTCTATTCCATTCCTGCCTCCCTCCTCTATATAGATCCACGCACCCTTCACATAAGAGCTAATTCAGCCCATAGGAACAGGGGCTCAGGTCTGAACTCCCCCGATAAAGGCGACAGGAGGGAGGAATCTATCTGAAGGGAACCTTCTGCTTTTTGCTCCCCAGTCAAAGGAAGCAGGATTTGGGGTTTGATTATGAATCGCAAGAAAATTACCCACATATGGCATTTGACTCCAGTTAAGATCCATCATATATTTGCTACTAGAGAGGCACTCTGTTGAAAGAGTTGCAGGGAACTGGGGGGGGACACATTTGCACATGTGGTGGTTGTGCCCAAGAATTAGATGGTTTGGGGAGGAAATTAATAAAGATATCCATCTTATGACAAAATGCCGGCTTCCTAGAGATCCCCTAACCTGTTCTCTTCACCAGAGCATTAAGTATCTGCATTTTAAACAGAACGACAAATTACATTTTTTAATTGTTGGCAGTGAGACTTTGTATTGCACATTATTGGAAATAGGTGACCCTTCCACCTATACAATTATGATATAGTAAAATATGGACTGTCCTAATAGGAAAGCTTTCCCGCCAAGTCCATAAACAAGAGAAGTGCCAAAAAGAGAGGATAAGTATTAAGACATTTGGTCGTCTTTACTAGTGGATTCAGAGGAGGAGGAGGAGGGCTCCCCAGCCAGCAAGGTTTTTTGAATAGTAATCTGATCCTGAATAAGTAATATAGTATGTTAAAGTTTTATTGTAACTTTGTCATAATAAAAAGCTTGTTTATTTATTTTAAAAAGTTACCCTCGGGGATTTATTCCCTATGGCTCTGGATCCTGGATCCTTGAAACAAGGCTACTACTTTACTCAAAAGGTGCCTACAATTTTTAGGTATGCAGGTCCCAGAGGCACCAATAGTTTTTAAAATATTTCCTAAAGTGACAAGCCATTTACCCCAGGGCCACTAGAAATGGGAATAGTCCAGTTATTAAAACTGGACTCTGCAATGCAGTAGAGCAATTTTAGCATCATTTATTAGGCAAATAGCAGTTTCTATCAATCACTTATTCATTATTAATAAAGTATTGAAGATATTCAACAAGAGGTAGAACAAGCTGCTAAGGCAGATGAGGGAAGATGGCTTGTTGGTTAAGGCACTTGTGTCACAGTTTAGAGATCTAGCTTCGGTTCCCAGCTCTGCCACAGACTATGTGAAATTTTGCCTCCCTATGTCTCTATTCCCCATCTGTAAAATGCAGCTAAAAATCACTGAGCCACACAAACATTAGACACTACAGTGATGGCTAGAAGTACCTAGCTTGATTCTGGGATTGCCATGGCCAGGGATAGTCAGGACAAAAGGAGGTGGGACAGCCATCTATCAGGGATGGTTTAGGGATAATTAAATCAATCCTGCCACAATTCAGGATGGGTGGATTAAAAGATACCCTAGTGAAAGCCTAGCCAGGATGCTGTGCAGGAAGAGACTAAATATCCCAGGATGGGCTAGATTCCCTGCTAGAGGTTCCACCCCAATCCAGGGGGATTGACTAGTGACCTATGTGACGTACTTTCAAGTCAAACAATTCTATGGTTCCTCCCAGAGTAAATATGGACTCATTTCCTTTGTGAACTAGATTGGGCTGGAAGATGGGTGAGATCTCCATTAGGATTGGAGTAAGGATCACAATTGGATCAGGACTAGAGATGGATCAGGATACTGGAAACAAGATTTGCATTTGTTTATAATTTTCAATTTTGCATAGTAACAAACTTTTCATGTTTAGTGATTTTTTTTTAAATAAGAAAAGCTGAAAACTGCCAAATCTGTCTGCTGTATCTGGGCCAAGTGACAACTGGAGGAGGGATTATGTATTGTGGTAAAAAGGACTTGGACTAATCAGATGTTTAAAAAGGGAAAATATAGGATGAATTTCAGGATATATATTCAGCCAGTGAGCTGCACTGGGCTGTGGCATCCTCTCCTGATGATGGTAGAAGCCCCAAACACTTGAGGCATTTAAAAACTAGAGAATGTACAATAACAAATAATCCTGCACTGGGTCTGGAAGAGAAACCGGATGAGCTAATAGGTCTTTTTTCATCCTAGTGTCCATGATTCTACAAAAGCAGGAGCAGAATCCTTCTGAACACAGAGCAGATTTAGGAGTGAATTTAAATAAAGATCTGATTGCAGACTCGGTCCCCTGCATTCACAAGCCCCTCTTGTTAATAATGTTATTGATCTGGTAGAATCCTTAGGTTTTGAATGTTGGAAGGTAATTTTGAGACTGTTTCTGTTTGTGCTATTGGGAAGGCATAGGATCTTTTGAAATTCTCTAATTTATTTGAGTGAAATTTTTTTTTAAATTCTCTTTCGGGCGCTGTATCTCCTGTCTTGTGGTTTGATTGTTTACTTTAAATGCAAATCAATTTTAAAAAGACAAACAAACATGAGAAAGCTGACTCTGTGTAGGCTGACCACACTTAGAAATTGTAGTTTCAAAAGGTTTGGATAGCCTGAGGTTCAGGGAGGATTTCTGGCACCAGGGAGGTGAAGAAGGTCTTGATACCTTACTTCCCCATTGCTAGAATCTCTTTGCATTCCCCTGGAGTTGTGCTCTCATCTGTCTCAGCTTCCAGCTGCTGATTTTTTTTCAATCCACCCATCCCAAGCTGAGAACCGGGCATATGGATGCAGGTTGGGACAATTGACCATTCAGGGCAGTCAGGAAGGATTTCCAATGATGGGTAATGGGGTAATGCAAATCAGAGGAAGGGAGGGATCCGCTAGTGGGAGATGGGTTTTTCGGGGTTCCTGTGTAGAAGTCGAGCAAGGGAACTGGCACTGGGTTCGTGGTTGGAGATTGCATGCATGTGGGGAGGAACTGGCTGGTGAAAGTAGTGAGGGCTGTGACAAAACTTTGGGGACTTGCTGAGGGTTAGGGATCTGAAGGGATTGGTTTGTTTGTAAGCAGGGAGAGGTGAGATGCTGAGAACAATGTCACTCCTCTCCTTGCCTCAGTGCAATCTTCTGGAGTGTCTGCGTGGCAAACATAAAGGGGACCGTAGTGCCCGTAAATCAGGAATTGGGGCCCTCTTTAAGGGGAAAAGAGACACTTCAATGTCTTTTGGAAGGAAATAATGTCTGAGATCTAATCTAGAGATTATGGTCATCTCAGTGATCCTGTTGGGGGAGAGAAACTGGAGGAGAGGCTGCCTAGAGGAGGAAGTGGTTGAAAAGGAAGGTGACTTGTGACTGTATAAGAACACAATGTCCTGGCACTTTCTGGGCTTTCTCTCAGCCAAGGGCCTGACCTTCTGTCCATAGAAAAACAGTAAAACACAATCTACATACATTATCCAGTTTCTGAGATTTTCTTTTCCCTGTTTCTCCGTCTTTGTGACTGTTCAGCTTTCTTTATATTCTGATCAATGAGTTTTATTCCCCTCAGGACAATCTTCACATCCTACCAACTGGAGGAGCTGGAAAAGGCCTTCAATGAGGCCCACTATCCTGATGTCTATGCCAGAGAGATGCTGGCCATGAAAACAGAACTGCCTGAAGACAGGATACAGGTAATCATACCTCTCTGGGCCCTAAGAGCAACCCTCTCATCCCTCCCTTCCCAAGCAGTGTCCGCTCACTCTCTCCCTCAGGAGAGGACACGGCAGCTTCCAGCACAGAAATGGTCATATCGCACTGAATAAAACTCCACTCCTCAGAACCGAAACCTCTAGGCAGTCATATTTTCTGTGCTTCTTTGCAAGCCTCTGTTAGGTGTATGGGTGTGGTGTTTTGGGTGTGCGGTTGCATTGTGTGCTGCTGTTAGTGTGTGTACTGTCCTGTCCTGTTTTGTGTGTGTATTTGTTTTGTTAACTTCCATAGCCCCTGCCACAAGGTGCCCAGGATAATGGATATATTTTACAATAGGCAGAATAGAAAAATAACCCCAAAATGAGGAGCTGCTGTACTGAAAGAGTCCAAAATGGTCAAAATGACCTGGATAGACATGCCTTGCAGCTCCCAAGAGTCTGTGTGGACATGGTTAAAGAGGAAACTCCATAGAGACCTGGCCCCTGAACTGAGAAATCCCTGATTCCAACCCAGTACAAATTGAAGCACTGACATGGGGAACAGCCAGTCTCTATTCTCTTGGAGGCGCATAGGAGGGCTAGATCTCATTGTCTGAGGGTGCCTCAGATTGCCTAGTGTAGTCCTGGATAAGATTGTATTATGAACTCAAGGATGGATGAGTTTCTAAATAAGGCATGTGTATGTGCCTTTTGTGTCCTCTGTGTCGAACTCTCCAAACAGGGACTTGTGGCTCCCCAGGAAAACCTTTTGGGGCTGATTTTCCATTGCACCCCTGCCTTCTTATTTCCCTCTGCATTATATCCCTGTTAGATGGGGCTTCCCTGGGTGGCATTGAACTGTCAGAACAGCTCTGTGTGTGTCAATGCCCTAGCACAGCCTTTGGTATAGGGCGTGTCAGGGTGCGGAGGGAGGGGGCGTGGTTGGAGAATGCTGTTCTCTGGCTATTCTGGGCTGGCAGACAGCCCATAGGGGCGCATTGCGGCCAGAATAGAAGCTAGAGAATACTTATGACTGCTGCAACTAATGTCAGAGGCAGTGTAGGACCCTGACATCCTGAGAATGTGGGGATCACAAAGGTAGCTTAAAGCCACCTCTGCTTTCCCTTCTCCCCTACCCCCCCACTCCTGGTTCCTGCACAAAGCGCAGGAAAAAAGCGGCAAAGTATGGAGCCCTTTGGCTTCCCTGCATGTGCTGATACAGAGTGAAGCTTCTGGGCTTGCAGGGTTGAAACTTGGCCTTGTTCCCCTGCATACCTGTGGCAGCTGCTTCTCTAGCTGATGCAGCTCGGCTGCTCTGTGAAGGGCTTGGCCTGGGTTCCTCTTTGTGCCACAGTAAACTGCACGTTTTCTTACTGGTCCCCTCATTCTGTCAACTTGCCCCCTTGTCTCAAATCTGCTCTTTCAGTCTGTGCCTCTTTCAGTGCCGCTTCCCTGCACTCAGGGGACCAACACGTCATTACGTGGCTGTTTCTTCAGCACTGGTAGACTGCCCATTCCACGGGTTCACAACAACCTTAGAGAACTCTCAAGGATACAGTACCGATGCTGTACATTACTGAGGTATAAACTGGGGATGGGGAGGGGGAGTGGCAGAGGAAAGGGAGGAATGGAGAGAGTTTCCCAAACCAAACAGTTTCACTTTTTTACTTTGCAACACACATCTGCCCTCACCAAATGCTTGTGCTAATCAAACATACCATGTTGATAAAATCAAGTCCCAATCCTTCTATTGTGCTGGCATGACTCCTGGTGACCTCACTGCTGTTATCCTAAGCACTGATTTCCAGCAGGCCTGAGACATAATTAATTGGCTCCTTACCTGACATAGGAATGCCTAGAATAAGGTCTCTTGTTCCTTGTATTCCACGTTGGGATTTCACTGATGCTTCTATCAAGAAAGAATTAGATGGAGAGCCAGTTAGATACCTCTGGCTTTCTGGGATGTCGTCTCTCTGTGAATCAGGGTATAAGAGGCCTGTGGGGAGATAAACATTGCTTGCATTCATCATCTGGAGCTAGAGTAGAAAGACTATTCTTTGATTTCCCACAGACGGGCCTTCACCCTTTGTCTGTCTGGGAATGAACCTTAGCCGTGGACAAAACCAGACTATTGAAATCTAGAGACGCCATTTACCAATCACGTCAGGCTGATAGGCTGGGATTGACCAATATATTCATGTGCTGCAGGTCAAGGTTGCATGTGTAATGTCAATATCTGGGTCATTTTTGTGATGATTTGAGCCAATGTTTTCATCTGTCTTATTTAGTAGCTGAATAGCGCTTGACAATTATTTCTTTCACAGAATTGCTATTTATATTTTACTCTGTTACTATCCAGTGAGAAACTGTTTGGCAACTTCTGTGCCACAACTTGTCATTGTTGTGGTTTGCCTACTCAACGGGAACTGGACTAGACCCATCTAGTAGGAGCTATAGACTCTGTAACGGGCATAATAAGCATCAGCACCGGTCTCCCAGGGGGAAGTGATTGTTAGTGAAACTGGGATGGTATGGGAAATGATAGCTTTTCATGGCATTATTGTATGGGGAATATGAGCATCTCGGGCCAGGACAGAGATCCCAGAATCCCATAAGAGACTCCTAAGAGATACTGAAGGAAAAGAGCAGGCTGCCTCCAAGGGGTCAGTACAGGATTGCTCCTTATTGTATATTTTCTAGTGTTTCCGTGGCTGCTCTTTCGTGTTATAAGCCTCCCCACCTATCAGGAAGATGATGCTAATGCTTGAAAGTGCTCCTTGATATTTAGCTTCAATACCCCCTTTTAAAACTTTATCCAGTTACTCTCCTTTGTACCAGTCTGAATAATCTCTATCTCACCAGCCTTGAGATTTACACCCTCTAAATAGTGGTACACTGTTAACCTGTTCTCCTCTCCCCACCAACCTCTACTCTCCAACCTTTAGTCATTGCTTATCCAAGCTATAATATCTTTTTTAATCATTCCTCATAAATCAGTCTCTCCAACCCCTTAATCAATTGGTTGCTCTTCTCTGAACTCTCTCCAATTTGTCAGCCTTTCTGGTAACAGGGGATCAAGAGCCTACTGGAATATACCAAATGAGTTTACACCAGTGCTGTATAGTGAGGGACAGCTACCTTCCTGCGTCCTTCTGCACATCTCTCCCCAAACTAGTGTTGGCCTGGTTTTGATTCCACATCACATTGCAAACTCCTATCTGTCTAGTGGCTGTCTGCTATCGCTCCTAAGTCTCCTTTGGCCATTCCTGCCTCCCAGTTTTCCCTCTTCCACTCAGTATTTTTGGTTTCAAATTATCTTTTCACTTAACATATTAGCTATATTTTTTTCCTAAACGGAATCTCTCCATATTCCCTGGCCATGTTTCTAATCTTTCCAGGGCCCTCTATATTTCTCTGCCCTCATGGGATTTGCAGCTCCTCCCAATTTAGTACCATCTGTGAATTTCATTAACATGCTGTTCACTCCCTCTTCTAGATCATTAATAAAGAAGTTATATAAGACTGACTCCTAATGCCAACCCCTGCACATTCCCACTGGACCTGTCTTGTATATTGCAATTTATTACTATCCTTTGTTTTCATGTATCGGTTTAGTTTTTGGAGGTCACAAGCAGAGACCAATATTAAAATACTTACAGAAGTAAATGGAAAAACTGAAATAGAGTGATGTATAAGAACTATTCACACAAGCAATACCTGTAGCAAAGCACCATGTGTTCTTAACAGGTATCAAATACTGATAGTTTCTGGTTTTGATACATTATACTGCACTCAGTAAAAATATTCCCAGGTGCCCAGGTAATGAGATCATATGGATATTAATTCTTTAGGGCAGCAAGTTTCCTCATTGTCAGGATGTCCCATGCTTTGCTGAAGCAGATGCTCATAGAAGGAACATGAGGATTTCCTCACTGGGCAGCATTAGAAAGTCTCCTCTATTAAAAGGAAACCGAGGAGGGAACTAGTTTTTTCCAGCAGGTTCTCTCTCTCATCTCCTAATAACTTGCACTGTGACCATTTCACAAAATATCAGGATTAATGTGTAATCCCATCACACATGTTTGAAAGAGCCTATAGCCGAGCTGAAGTGACATTTATCAAAATAAATTGAGGCCAATCAGTATGGGGCTAAGCAGGCTGCTACTGGATATGCACATGTTTAGTACATGCAGGGTGTGTCTACACTGCAGCTGGAAGTGAGATTCCCAGCATAGGCAGGTAGATTTGCACTAGCAGGGCTTCAGCTAGTGCACTGAATGTACCAGTGTGGACGTTCCAGCTCAGGCTCTCAAGCCCACCTGATCTCCTAGGCTTCAGAGCCCAAGCTCTAGCCCGAGCCAGAATGTCCACATTGCTATTTTTAGCACACTAGCTTGAGCCCCACTAGTGCAAGTCTGTCTACCCAGGCTGGGCGACTCCACTCCCAGCTATGGTAACATAAGAGATGAGTTAAGAGTCTGGCCTCTTCTACAAAATATAGTCACTCTGGCCTCAGGAATCTACTATCCAACTCTACCTATATACTACTTAAGAGGGCAGATCCTGGTCTCTTAAATGTATTGTGTGGATTTTAGATACATTTAAATTCTGGTTATCTAAAATGTTATATTTTCCAAGCTTGGTAAGCCTCTTGTATTCAAAGTGCTATTGCCCTGTAAAAGTCCAAGTATGGGATTATTGAAATAATGATATATTGGTGTAATTAAACTGTTGCTTACCGATCAAAGGAATATATCTGACCAGTCATATCAAGAAATTGGGTACATCTAGTAAGATCATGCCTGTCTTTTTCTTTTTGGATGGAGAGTAGGATAATCTTCTAGGGGAAATGATCAATTATTACAGAGGGGAGAAGGGAATGGAAAGTATTTAAGAATTCTGGCAACCCTAGTCAGTATAACCTTTGTATGGTGAGTAAACAATCTAATTATATTAGAGCCAGGGCTGGCTTCAGGCACCAGCCGAGCAAGCTCGTGCTTGGG